CTGCAACGCACAACTCCCTTAAACCTAAGCAGACCCCCAAACCACCCGACGCCCTAAACTCCCAAGACCTTTGAAGCCCCGAAGCACAACAACACCCTAATGAAACCCTAAACCCCAAACNNCCCCAAGCCTTAAACCCCAAACCCTAGACTTGGGCAGGTCACAAAGCGCGTCGGAACCTTTGAGTGTTCAGAGTTTAGGGCTTGAGCTCGCATTTAGGGCTTAGGCGGGCTTAGGTAGTATTATTAGGAGTACCCCTTAGAGGGTACCCCTTCTGAACCCTACTTTTGGCTCTCTTAAACGGGACCTTATTGAAAGGGTCTATATCCCCAAGGGTCCCCCTAATCCTAGCTCCCAGGGCTTCGGGGTTCGGCTTCCCGCTTTGAGAGTTCAGGGCTTCCGGGTTCCGGGTTGAAGGGGTTTAGGGTTCGAGGTTGGGGTTTAGGGTTCCTTTAAAAGGGGTTTAGGGTATGGGGTTTAGGGGTTAAAGGAAACTACANNTGGGGAGTTTAGGGTATATGGGGCTTGTAGAAGGCTCCTGTAAGGTATATAGACTTTCTAGAAGGCTCCTATGACGGTAACTACCCACCTGAAAATGTCCCTGACTAAACCCGTTCAGCAGCCATACGAACCCTCTAAAATGCAGTCGAACCATGCCAGCGAAGCCACATATATCACCGTCCAACCTTCCTAAACGTGCAATAAAAGCCCTAAACCCTAAACTCTAAACCCTCTAAACTCTAAACTCCGAACCCTAAACTCTAAACCCTAAACCCTAAGCCCTCTTGGTTCCGACCCTTTGAGACCCAAGGCGAGCAAGGCAGGGTCACGAGACCGAGGTTCTGCCACCCACTCCGTCCTTTCCATGCGTGCCTTTTTGGGGTTTGGTTTGGGGATTAGGGTTTAGGGTTTAGGGTTTAGGGTTTTAGGGTTTTAGGGTTTTGGGGTTCAGGGTTGAGGGTTTGGGGATTAGGGTTTAGGGTTTAGGGGTTTAGGGGTTAGGGGTTAAGGTTTACGGTTATTGCTGCATTACCTTAAGGACCCTAAACTATATGGTATGTTATGGGCAACTTAGGGGGAGGGTCTGGGATTGAGGCCTTATGGAGCTTCAGCTTTTCAAGATGTACTTGCAGGTTCATGGGCAGTTATGAGTGGGGTTATAAGTAGGGTAACTGTAAATATTTCCCCATATTAGGGGACTTATAACCCTACTTATAATTACCCATGAACCTCCAAGTAGTAGTGTTTCAGCGTTTAGGGAGAGTGTGCGGTTTAGGTCTTAGAAGGTGTGGGGCACAGGCTTTAGGATTAGGTCTTAGAAGGTGTGGGGCACAGGCTTTAGGATTAGGGTTTGAGCTGGCGTTTAAGAAGAGCATGTGTAACGTTCTGTAGTTTATAGTTTTAGATCTCTCATTAGGATTTAGGGGTTAACTTCCTCAGACACTCACCTTTGCAATTGAACCCAAACCTGGGGGTCCACACACATAAACATCACAGACTCCCTACCCTACGTTCCTACTATCCTAAACCTAACCCCAAGGGTCCAACGGACCCAATAATCAGGTACTTAGGTTTCGGATAGTAGTTATGTAGGTTACTATGTGGGGGAGTATATGATAATTAGGTACTTGGACCATTAGGGTAAGTACCGCGCTGTTGGTTACACTGTGCCCAGAGGGAGTGGTGCCGCATTCCGGATCCCTCGGCAACAGCGACACGTTTTAGCATCACCAATTCTCTTAGTTCTCAATGCTTGACCTTTACGTAAATATTTTTTAATGGTTCTTACTTACAGTTTACTAGCAATCTGAAAGTTTAACCTTTTATTTCCCTGGCTTATTGGAGGAGAAAGTTCTTCAAGGACCAATTGACCCTTAAATCGGTACGAAATTGGGTGAGGCTTCTGAACCTTTTTCCAGACTACAGCCACACAACTAAACTTACACGGGATATGAAACCTAACAACATATTCAAGCACACGAAGCAAAAAATGCCAGCAGCATGCTTTATACCCTGTTCGGGCCCTTTACCATAAACCCATTGTTGTAGGGCTTACTTGATCCTTAAGGTGGGTACAGCCCAATCTAAGAAGCCTTTTTGTGGACCCCTCACTTCTGGTGATTATTATTCTTTGGGGTCTGACTTAAGGTCCTTAGGGTATTCCTTAACTCCTTAGGGCTGGAGGGTTCTATGGTAGAAGTCCTGCTCAGTTAAGGGGTATCGGAGCATGCCTGTAGAGTTCTACACGACAGTTCAGGACACATCACTTGGTTGAACTTTACAGTCACTTTAGAGCTTTATCACTTTTAGGATTAGCCTTCTTGATATTAGGGGTACCAAAAGTTATAATAAAGAGCAACCCAGATCAGAAAACCTAGCAACTTGCAGCGCCCAAACCCAAAGCGATGGATGCGGTGAAACAGGTTTACCATTCTTGGTTTCTTGGTTTCGGGTTCTAGCCTCCTAAACCCTAAACCCTAAACCCTAAACCCACAACCCTAAACCCTAAACCCTAAACCCTAGGTTTAGTTTAGGTCCTCGGTGTACCACCATGAATTCGCAAACCGTACACCCCAGCTCGATCATTCTAGCTCCCGATCTGGCCCAGAGACTCGAAACTGTTGATGGACAAAATTCTGCATGACCCAAATAAAGTATAGTACCATAAATCCCATAGTCTAGGTATATAGGGTCATGCAGGATTTTGTCCATCAACCGAATCATCTTGCTAAGAATGATCTCGAAATCATAGTTTTAGATTTTAGGGCCATTCATCATGCCTGTAGGACTTCAGGCGCGATTTGACCCTAAACCTTGGATACTGTCCCCACCCAGAAACAGATACTGTTGATATACATTAATACATAAAATCTTACTGTTTGGGGGGCAACCCCAACCCCTAAAGACCCAAAAATCCTAAACCCATCTTCGCAACTTTCGGGGCTTGTCCTCGGCGTTGGCTCGCAGGGTAAGTTTTAGAAAACAACAGTTTCTGCGTAAGATAGGAGCCTGAAGAATGGCTAAAACTGTTCTCTAGGGTTTCTGAGTTTTAGATAGACTATGATATACGAAAACAGACTATAATAATAATAGACTACAATGTACGATAATATGCTATAATATACCCGCAAACCCTATTCGGATCTGTCCGGCCCCTATCCTATGGTGACTTGGGGACGAGGTTTCTTGCAGCTTGGGAATGGAAGGTGTCACGATGGTAACAGACGTAGACGTTGGAGCAAGGTTTAGGGTTTAGGGGTTTAGGGTTTAGGGACATGTGGATGATTTAGGGATTGTGCGTGTGGGCTTGCCGCCACGGCTGGATTCAAAGGCGCATCTTGAGTTGTCCAGGAGCCAGGTGATTTATGGTTCAGGGTTTAGGGGTTTGGATTCTATATCCTAGACCCTAAACCCTCAACCCCTAAACCCTAGACCCAAACCCGGTTAGTACATATACTCCAACCTTAAACCCTGGTGATGTTTCGCAGCGGTGGGGTTGTTATTTCTCTGTCTCCTTTGCTAGCAGATCAGGAAGCCTTATGCAGCAAAAGAGCGTTTTCCAGTCTTGATTTTAGGTTGATGCTAATATAGAAGCCTAAATCATTCCCTATACTACTTTGGGTGTTCCTTATTTTAAATATAGTATAAAGGGCCCCACAACCCGATTCAAATTATTCAGGCCCCTAGATTAGGGCTTGAAGGCTTAGCGATTAAAGCCCTTCGGGTTTGCATGGTTTGGGGGTTTGAGTTTGGGGTACTTAAAGGATCATGGGACTTAGTAAGCAGGGTTATAATTCAGGTAACAGTACTTATATTTACTTATAACCCCAATACTCTACGACTCTACGACTCCTGATACTTGCTTGTCATGTCACGTGTCCGCACTTCTGTGACGCTAAACACAACTAAATGCTGTTATCTAAAGGTCAGGTACTGTTTACACAGCAAACCTCTAGGACACTGGTGAAGCCCTGAGATTTAGTGGAGGGTTTTGGGTTTAGAAACCCTAAACCAAAAAATACCATAAACCCCGAACCACAGAACCCCCAAACCCTAAAACCCCAAAACCCTCAACCCTAAAACCTAAAACCCTAAACCTTAAACCAAAAAATACAATAAACCCAAAACAACCCTAAAACCAAAAAAGACCATAAGCCCGATACGCCCTATAACCCCTAAAGCCGGAACGGTCGGGTTCTGCCCCGAGTTTCAATGCGCACACCCTAAACTAAACCCTAAACCCTAAACCCTAGACCCTAAACCCTGATCCCTCAAACCCTGAACCCTCAAACCCTAAACCCGAAACCCGAAACCCTAAACCCCAAACCCTAAAGCCTAAACCCTAAACCCTAAACCCTAACCGCATCGCGCGGAATTTCGGCCCGCAGCCTGGCTCCGGTTTTTGCCGAAGCGAACCCTTCTGCGTGTATATACAAACAGTATACTAGAAATACGTAAATGCACACATGTGTATATTTGCATATACGTACATATATGTTTATGTATATATATATATATATAGTACACGCACTGTTGCATGTTGTGTATACATGTACTGTGTAGACGCACATATACACTTCAAGGCTTTCGGTTGATGGTTTATGGTTTGTGGTGTCTATATATATATATATAGGGGATATATATATATATATGTAGATATATACATATACATATATACATATGTATATACTTATGTACACATGCATACAAGGCCAGCCCCTGTTCCGTGAGCCTAGATGAAACCTTGGGTTCCTGCATATCTGGCTTCTCGAGTTAAAGCAGTATGTACTGCATCACAGAGGGTTTAGGGTTTAGGGCGTAGGGTTTATGATGCAGCAAATAGTTGAAGGACTATTATTGACACTATGGGAGGCTTCTGTTGAAATTTGTGTATCCTTAAGTTGGAATGTTTAGGGATTTGGCAGTCTCTCAGGGCATCATGTCCGTGATAGTGTCCATGTAGGCTTGAGCTGCAGCCAGCACTTCGTGCCTTGCCATACATGCTGTGCATCACACTGTTATCCGGGGCAGAACTGACGAGCATTGCTGTTGAGGATGTGCTCGATGTGAAGGCCTTGAAGCAGCGACTGCACTTGTTGCACGGCCTGCCACCACGATTCAGACAAAGGCTGCTTCGAGGAGGCCAGACTCTGGATGATGCATTCCAACTGGACTCGCCGATGGACCTGCAGGTGGGCAGTTCTCTAAACTGGGGGTCACTGTTTAGGATCCCGAAATAGTACAGCACGGCACCCTTATGAAAAGGGACCCTAAGCCAGACTAGAAGGGTGCCCAGGTAGTGCTCACGACACTCGCCGAGCCCTCCGACTGCCAGATGGAACAACTCCTCGTTGCGGCCAGGGATGGCTTCATGTCCGAGGTGGGGCCTCACATAGAGATCTGAGTACGTTGTACCATCATATTCTTATACTCCCCATATCTGTTCGATGATGACCGATGATGGACGCCCTGAACACTGTTGTAATTGTAAATCCCAATCCTAAACCTGATAGAAAATAGAGCCCTGAACAAATCACCATTTCAACAAGACTACATACGAAAGAGAAAGCCTAAAAGCTCAGTGAACAGCATTGTGATATCCTAAACCGCTACAAACCCTTAGTTCTCCAATACCCAGCCTGTAAACTTTTTGGTTTCTTGTAGCTTAGCTGCAATCTGACAGATTAACCTTTCATATGTGTCTTCTGGGTTCTTGTTAAGAAGTTTAGTTCAAGTTACCATAATCGGGATGACATGAGCACAGTGACTTGTGTGTGTGGGGTCTACACAAGACGGTTTGGGGCTTAGGTTTTAGGGAATATGGTTTGATCCAGATTTATCCATGTAAAAGCCTGTAGCAATCGAGATTCCCTCCTGTACGAGTGATTGAGATGCAGCGTAGAAGCCTGCAATCGTCCCCACAGAGATACCCCAACTACTTGGAGGATCATGGGACTTAGTAAGTAAGGTTATAAGTTATAAGTCCCTTAATTGGGATTATATGTAAATATAGGTACTGTTACCTTAATCATAATCCTATTTACTAAGTCCCATGATCCTCCAAGTATAATTACTGCAAGACAGGCTCTACACAAGCAACCTTAGGGCCTTAGGGTTACGAGCATGTGAGGTTTCTTGTACTTTCGAGCCTTGGGATAGAACGTTGGAATCTACAAGTAGCATAGAGGCCTAACTAGTTATCAATACTAATTTGGGGGGGATCCTTATTATAAGTACAGTATAAAGGTCCCCCAAACCCTATTCCAATTATTATGGCCCCTATGTTCTATACACCCTCATCCCTAAACCCCAACCCTAAACCC